TGCAAAATTGTGGTTCAATTTCCATTTTTTCCCTTGGACAGTGGGCCCAGTGTTCCATGAATTAGCATTTTATGTATTGATTTATTCATCATCATGCATAGTAATAAGGATCTTGGATCAGAATTGTTGTCCTCCTTGCCAGACGTTTCCACAAGAATGTACTTGTAAAGTAACAAATGATTGTACGGTAGAAAGCCAGCTTTTGTGCAGCTTTAGTTCCGTTGACCTGGATACCCAAGCGTTGCCAGGTTTTATAAACTCATCCATCCATGTTGTGGGATTAAATGGACTATATTAAAGTCTGTTTTGACTAAATCTTTCTAAATCCTTGGAATGCTTGTAAAGACATTGATCATCATATTTTTTTATTGAGAAATATTATGAACATCTCTGTCAACCAAAGCTCCAAGTTCTGAACCTAGTTGAGAGCCACCTTGAGATGGCCCAATATACTGTATATGTCGTTGCTATTTAGTTCTGATATTGACAGACAGTAATGGAATTGATCACAGTCATTTTAAGAATGTTTTAAATGATTTTCCAGAGATACTGAACTTTTACCAACACTTAAAAGTGAAGCAGACATTAATTTTATTTCATGATGGAAGCAGACAATCATGACAAAACCACTGTCATATGTTTCAAACTGGGACCTGAAAGCACAAAAGCAAATTGGTCACGTAGACCTTCTCGAAAGTGCCTGCAGAACATTTTAAGAACCAACTCATTCAAAGACAGTTTTGACCTGGGGACGGTGGGGCATGTCTACGCTAAAATTAACCATAACTGAACCAAATGTCTCTGAAAACATTGGCATTGGAAGTATTTTGCTGCTATGACATTTCTACCAAACACTCATGCTGGACATTGTATTTTGTGACTCATATGTAAACAGTAAGGTCAGCATGGGGCACTTTTGGTATCCATGAAATTGACTAGTTGTTTACAATATAGCATGACGGCAAGGGAAAATAGTTTTAAAACTGTGGAAAAAGTGCAGTGATTCAAACATGAAATCCTTCTTTGTTTGGCACAAAAATCTCAATACGCAGGTGTTTGTTGCTAAGTCAATTAGAAAGTTGGGCTTCTTGTGTTTTAAGTGTGACATTTTAAGTTTAGTTGCAATGGTGCAATGCTGTGTCCGGTAGCATACACCATTAACATATTTGACTATCAACAAAACTATCAACAAAAAACAAAGGTACAATTAGCTCATTTAAATTTTTAACTGATGACATTTTAACATGGGGCAATACAAACAATATGATTATAAATCTCACCTGCGGAAAGCATCTGAATATATTCACTTTACCCAGAAAGGTGAAGTTGGGATTGCTGAGAAGTTTAAAGCCAGTTCTCTTCAAACCTGATTTACTTTGGAAGTTGGAGCTGGTACCCAGTTTGCTTATTTTGGCATAACTTTTATTCTGTGGAATTGCTGTATAACGTTGCGAGAGAAGCATTGAGTGGTCTGATTATGTATATCAGCTCTGAAACAATGCTGGTATTGTAAATGAGTCAGGCCTGGGCTGGTTCACTTAAAATTGATTGATTTGGAGGGAAATGAGAAATAGAGCAGAGGTGCAGCTCTGTCAGCTATTCAGGGCCAATCAATATTTTATGGACGTTGGGTAGTGATAAAATGCAATTTTGTCTGAAATGCATGAAGTATAAACAAGAAGTGTATTATGCCAAGCATGCGTAACTTAAATAACATTACTAAATAATGTTGTAATGAACAACATACTGTAAGCAGAAGTATTCAAAAGCAATACAGCCATTGCTTAAAAACAGCATGTTTCACAATACTGCCAATTATCTGGGATTCCTTTCTGTCAAATGGCATTCAAATGACTACTACTATCAGTATTTTGGACAAAAACATTCTGTGGCATTGTAAAAAACATCATAGTGTTTAACAGTTCTTGAAAAAGCAGAAAATGAAAGTATTGTGCTGATGGTTTTATGCTGCTCTTACAGCTAACTTGGTGCCATTCACGTCACTATTTATTACCATCATATCAATAGATACAATGGTGACATTTGAGAAGTTATATGGTTCATTGTGTTTGAGCAGTGCCTCAACTTTTCTGAAAGCTTCTGAAAGCTTGAAATGTTGTGGTTCAGCATCTTGTGTCAGTTGGTGACATTGTTGAACTTTTAAGATGTGACTATGTAGACAGTCTCTTTATGTAATTATTACACATATTATATTAGTATTTATACCATAGTTAAATTTGAGTTGCCACATATCTGTTTTTAAACCAAGAATCTACAGCCATGCTATCTGCTAATGAGTCTGTTAGCATGCTAACATTTGCTAATTAGATGACGATGGGAATGTTATTAGTTTTACAGGTTTGAGGGAGTTCATCAAAGTTCTTGCAGTTCACCCTGAGGGGGTCCAAGGTTTTTAACAATTAATCCAATTTCACCCCAAACCACTAATGTAAACCTCATGGTAGAGATAGAGGAAATGTCATGGGATCACCAAAGTCAGTTGGAATCATCCTCTGGGGACCATAAATGTATGTGCAAGGTTTCACATCATCAGTGTGGCTAAAAAGGAAGCCAAACAGAACTTAGTGATGCCTTTTCTCTCTGGTCCTACATTGCAAAGTGCCTTTCTGCTGCTTACTTTCCAAAATACAAAAGCCACCAAATAACACAATGTAAAAACACAATACACAACACCACAGGGTCCATTTTGTTATGTCTGACCAAAAATGTTGTCTGACCAAACATTTGAATGAACATCAAGTTCACTTTGATTTATTTCACGTTCAGACTCAAAAGCTGTTGAAAGGGTTGAAAAGGTTTCAACAGATTGTTCATAGTTGTTGACCCTCATCATGAAATTCCCTGCCACATTTTTTTCTAAAGCCACTGTTCCATAACCGTACTTGGGATGCTGTGGAAAAATAGCAGGCCAATACAACGTTTCGCCTTGACAGGCAGCTCAAGATCTCTCAGCACTTCAGAACCCAGTTTGAGTCCCATTACTTTCGTTTATGACCAGAGGCCATACAATACTTCACTTTTTTGTCTTAATTGATTAAGAAACATCTGAAAACCCTTTTTTGACTGGTTATTCTTTCGCTTGTGTTTCATAAACTGAAATGTTATAATGTTTTTGTTGGCATACTTTCTACAAAGTCTTACTGTTACTGGTACAGTTGGCCTGAATGGGAATCTCTCCTTGCTATAATCAGAATGAAAAATATTGTCATGAATATTATGAATCATGATGCTATCTGAAAATAATGTAGGGTATTTTGTCTGGACCACCAGCTCTCATGTGGGGAGTGTTTTCTCAGCCGCTGTCAAAAATATACCTCCGAAATCAGGAGGATGTCATATTGTGCACAAAATATTCCTCTCCGAGGTGTCAAGTGTCATTTCAAAGTGAGCAATAATAATGAAGCGACTGCCAAGTGCAGTAAAACCCCTTCTGTTTCTTCTAAAGCCTTAAAAAACAAACCTATGGAGAAACCAGGGTTGATGGGAACCATAGTAAAGTGAGAGTCAAACTCCACCTGTGGTTACATACTTTAAACTGTGACTGGACCCTTTGCTGGCAGCGCCTGACATTATCCTGGAAACCGTCCAAAAGGAGCAGAGTTGCAGGCCGAAGTGGAGCCAAACAGCGGGATCAAATTGAGGACTAAGCATCATACAAAAACGTGTGTAACATAATCCTGCATTTTGCACCCAGCTAACACATCTGGAGTGTCCTAAATCAGCCAAGCACTGCTTAAAAAAGGCATTGTTCTTTCTGTTTTGCCCTTTACTTTGTTACCTTTATTTCTTACTTATTGAGAGATGTGTTCAGAGTACAGGACGGCTGACAAGTACAGAATGAAAAAGGTTTAGATTAGGTTATTTAGATTTGTATTTTGAGTCCTTTTTTTAGCAGCTGACAAAAGCCCTGTGTCACCAAGTCATCACATGGGGCAACTTTTAACACCAATTAATGTTGAGCTGTGTGGTCTATTCAAAAACTTTCACCAACCCTTTTATTACTGTAATTATCTTGAACCTCAGACATGACAACAAAATAATATTCTTTGCTGGTCTGGGGGTCAAAAGAGTTTTCAAAATGATTTGCATAATAACTCTTCAAAGTATTGTTACTGCCTGAAATTGGATCTGGATATTTTCTGTGATGCAGAACCAGACAGGGAAAATTGTTCCTCTTTGTTACATTGACTTCCAGTTGTTTTAATCCTGACAGCTCCTTTAATGTTGAGTGGAATTTTCCTTCCTCGATATTATCCATTCCATTGCAAGTTGACAAGTCCTCCTCAAATGTGGAGAGCAAAAGCTCAGCTTTTAATTTCCAGCTAGTCTAAAAGACATAGCTTTACCTTCTTGACTAAATTGTGAATGCACACACTTTTTGGGGGGCAGAATGCAAACAGGTATGCCTGAAAATTTGTTTCCAGTTGTCAACTTGCAGAAAAGACTTCATGTATTGCTGGGTGGAAGAGGTCATTTTGGGAGAGATGCTCCCAATTTCCAAACTGAGGACTACTTGCGGACAACACAACCCAGTCAGGTCTTCAACAAGTAAAACCTTACAAAGCGTGTAATTGTTTTACTCCTCCACCTGAGCTTTAGCAGATTGATAGTGTTGACAGGAAAATGGCAAACAGGAAAACACTGACTAGATAAACAAATTAAAAACCAGGGCATCCGTGCTGAAAGGAAAAACAAAGAAAAAAAAAAAAGGAAAAAGAAACAGGGATGTCAGAATGGAGCGCACTTTTGTGGCAAGATAGTGTGTGTTTCCATTGTCGACCTCAGCTTATGTATAAACAGAGCCTAAATACTTAATGAACCTTGAGATTCTGAGTTATTTGTAGTCCACTAGTAATGATTTTCAGTGGCTCTTCCTCATCCTGCTGTAGGGTGGTTTGACTGTGAGAATATGAAACTTATACAAACAAAAAGACAATCAAATTACTGACTAAAATGTATTAAATTCTTCTTTTTTGCAGGACCTCCGGGAAAGCGGGGAAGAAGAGGCCGCAATGGAGAACCTGGTATGTACATTTGTGTGTGTTTGTGTGGCCAAAGATCACTGACGTCTCAATCCAGAAACAGTTCAAGGAATAATTCAGTAGGACATCAGCAAATCATCCTGCACTTACAATCATGTAAAAGTACACTGTATATCTTTGGAGGCCAAAATAGGTTATAGATGTGTAATTTGTGGCCTGGTGGTTTCAGTGTTCACTTGGATTGTTTCAGCTTCAGTTGCTATAGAAACACTAGATATTCACAGTGGCTGGGAGACGGTGCAGTTTGAGAGAGTAAAAGTGATGGATGAGCGTGCTGAAGAATGACATCTGCAAGTTTTGAGACACTCTAACCCTCACATGCTGACCCTAGGCATAATGTACCTCTGCTTCAGTATACATAATAGCCCACACATGTTAGCCTCCACAAATTCAGCAACAAGTTGGCATAATGCGTTCAGAACTCTAATGTCCCCTCCCTCCTCCCACACTCTTTGAGCTGACTCAACAAAGTTGGCCGAGCCGAGGCCTCGGCATCTAAGAAAAGGACATGTTGTGCAGCGACACTCCCACAGACGGAAAGTGTCGCCACAAATTGAATTCACAGCAAGAACATGTACTTGGCAGGGAGCTGCATCCACACTCTGTTCACCTGATAGTGATAGTGATAATGGGCTCTGGAGTTTGGTGGCCTTCCTGTGTTGAGGGAATGCAGTGCAGCAGAGCGCAGGCAACGCTTTGGAACAAAAGTGCTGCCCTTGTAAAAAGAAATTAGAGAGACAGGGCAAAGCAAGGTCCCAATTTTAAGTGAGGTTGAGTAATAAGGGAGCGGTTTGGTTTCACAGCCTGAGAAACAAACACTGTCTGTGAGGGGAGAAAAAACGCTGCTGGTTTTACAACCAAATCCAGCCTTTTTTTCAAGTCATAGGAATCAATCATGATCAGTCGAGATCTGTTATTTGAGTATCAAAGATGCTATTACCGCCTTTATTTTTTAGATTTTTCCAAATTCATTTAGAATCCCGTTGTGGCCATGTTCTGCATTTTGAGCTGTGGATCAATGTGGCGTGGCTCTCTGCCTTTCCCTTTTTTTCTAATTTCGTAATCTAGTGTATGAGTTTAAAGCCAAGGGAGATGGAAAAAAAAAACGAGAAATCAAATGACAGATAGACGACAGTGCAATGTTCTGGTAGGCTGCACATCTGAAATACCGCCAGCCTTTGTTTATGGAGTGCTTAACTTTCCAATAAACATCCACCGTGCCAGCGTATTTCAAATGGCACCATTGTGCAAAGACAGTTTTTTTTCTCTTTCTGCTCAGCCAGAGAAAATGTGAATGGCTTCCTCTTGACAAATCAATTGGAAACAAGCATCCAATCATACCCACTCACAATGCCTGGACTGGAGTGGCACAGTGGTCTATTAAAGGTGGACAATACGGCACCTTACCATTCTGTATAGTAGCCCAAATCCCAGTAGTGAATAGGCTGGAATATGTTGTAAAATCAGGCAGATTCAGCTCAAGTTTGTCTACCTGCAGTAGGGCCTCACCTGCCATAGAGACTGTTTTATTAATGCCATGAACTATGACATGTTAAGCAGTGTTTACACAAGACTTTTATTTGCATGTTCACTGGTTATGTACAGCTTTCATGAAAGCATTCCAGACTTTTAAATGGCTTTACAAAAGCAGCGCTTTAGAAGTCCTTGCACAGAGAATGTCATTCTAAATGTTGGCAATTAAAATGAAATGCTCTGCATATTTGCATGCAATTATAGCTCGGTTATTTCTGCTACATTTACTGTTTGGATATGTTTTGGGAGAGAAAAAAAAGTAGAGCCAATATTCTGTGTGAAACTCACACAGGCATTCAAAACAAATAAATATGATTGCACTATGCTGCATTATTGGAGCCCAGTGTCAAACTCTGTGTGTCCGTTCCACAGGAGGAGAAACTAGAGACATTTAGGAGACATTGTTTATACGACTGAAAAATTCAGTCCTTGACAGGCACAGGCGTGCTGCATTCTGCACTGTAAGCCTTCTGCAAATCCAATTTCCCTCTTTTAAGTCCCCAACACTGGTGGATGTTGAAGGGAAGCATATTTAATTCATGATCCGCCTTAACCAAAAGTAACTAAGCCGCAGCAAGTTTCCCACAAATTCATGGTGAGATGTTTTGCAGTTTACTCATCTACAAAGGCGAGGGGAAGCTTTTGCCCAGACTTGGCAGCAACTGACAGAGAGAACAAATAGGAAAAAGACACAGTGATATTTACCTATGCATTAAAACTGAATGGGATACTTCATCAGGATCTCTTGTTTGTTTGCCGGTAACATATGGAAAGGAAAAGTGTGACGTGACAGTTCAGGATGAAAAAGTAGCAGTGAATGCCACACTCTCAAACTGTTCTAGCAGGTGGTCAATGCTGGAAAGTGTTATAAGGTTCCTCCCATATTTTCCTTATGTGAATAATCAGTACTTTTGTAGACATGCGCCTGCCTCCACAAAACTACGAATTGATGCTCAAATTGTGCCGGATGAGCAATTTAACCTCACATTGGTGCATCTGTGTCAAGTGTGAAGAACAGCAGCTCTTTCTTTGCAACACATGCCTGACTCTTCTTGAAAAAAAAAAAGTTACTTTAAATGCCCCACGACAGCTTCTCTACAACCTTTGTGTCATTTTAGAGCACTTTAACAACTTGCACAATCATGTGAGCATACTCAAATACAGTACTTGTTCAGAAACCTTTACATTCTCTGGTGACTAACTACAGGTGCCAGTGTGAGAACAGAAAGTGAAACTCAGTCTGAGTGACTGTATGAAGCTGGAGCTTTGAGGGTGGATAATTATGTCACAGACTATTTCATTTAGCATATTATAGTCCAGCAAGTAATGTTTTGGTATAATTAAGGCCATCAAATTTAAGAATTTGAAGGCTTCTACCTTTGAGGTGACTATTACGCGCTTTGCAGCATATTCCACATTTTTATCACATTATTTCTTTGATTTTTCCATAATTGCTAGTTGAAAACTTTGTACTGAGCCACTGAGCACAGTGGGAAACATCAAAAAATACACAGTGGAGCAGGTTTATTAAAAGCTAAGTGGTCTACTGTAACTCAACGATCCATAAAACAATGCTACAGAAGTGCAGCCCAGCAAGCCTCAAATACACAGCTCCTTAAATGCTCCAGCTGCTGGAGCAATTTGCACTTTCCCCTGGTCATGAAGAAGAACAGTTCAAGGACATAGGACTTGTAAAGAAGCAAAATCCTTATTTTTTCAGAGTTAAAGCAGCTGGGTACCTTTTTTTAATAAGAACCTAAAGACTTAAAATGATTTGCAGGGTTCTGGAGAGCCCTGAAGTGCGTTGGCACACGGTCCTTTGAGCAGCAGTAATTGGGGAAAAAAGACGAGTGTCACCTCACAAAAACGTGGGAGTATTTTTTAACAAGCGCACAACCCCTTGTAGTAGTGAAATTAGAGCCACTTACAAAGGTAAAATGCGAGCACTACGCCTGGTGGCCATTGTTGGACCAAAGTGAATGGAAAATAGATATGAACGGCACAATGCTTGTCATTCTATCTCATAGAAATACAGGTTGGTTATAGCGAAGTAGAATTTCTGCCTATTCTGCGAAGCCAGTGAATGCATCACGGAAGAGATGCATCTTTATGAGCTGCTCCTTCCTAAGGAAATAATTCTCAGCAAGAGTCTGATTTCCCATCTTGGTTATTTGGATATGTGGTTTTAGTGGAACATTGATGATCTGAGTCTGTTTGAGCGCTGATTGAAAACACACTAACCAAGTATTTTTTCCTTTCTCTTTCAGGACCTCATGTAAGTATGCCTGCTTCACATCTTCTCAAACTGTGATAGCCACGTGAAGGTAAAAACTCCAACAGTAAAACATGACTGCATGTCATGCAATTTTTATTCACTGTTTAAAGTCAAGAATAAATTTACATGAAAGGGATATATTGGTATAAAACTGTAAGGTCTCATTAAAAGATAAGAAAGTTTTGGGAAATACAATTATTTTCTTTCTTGTTGAGAGTTAGATGAGACGATCAATCCACTCTCATGTCTGTATGCCATACATGAAGCTACAACCAGCAGGTGGTTAGCTTAGCTTAGTATTAAAATGGGAAAGAGGGGGAAAACGGCTCGCCTGGCTCCATCCAAAGTAGGTGAATTTCATCACCTTTGGACAGGTCTGCCTTCTACTCTTTATGCTAAACTAAGTTGAGCTGCTGATTTGGGATACAGACATTCTCGGCAAGAAAGCCAAAAAGCATATTTCCATTCATGAATATGCAAAAAAGAAAAAAAAAAAAATGAAACAGTGAATATATTAAAAGCTTTAAAGCAAATAAAATAAAAAAAGTATAAAACTGTTCTTACAATTGATGTAAAATACATCTGATTATGACAAATTTGCTACCAGAAATCTCAGTTGTACCTCACAGTCTGACTCTGTTATTAAAATAATCTCTTCATCCCTGCCTTCCCCTAATGGGGACCCTTTTCCCTGTCATTTGGGCTGTCTGGTTTGTAATATTCTTGCTACCAGGCTCCATCCCTGCCAGCTCCCTGCACCCGAACACTTTCTTTCACCTCATTACACTGCCGGGTGATCACAGATTCACTCCCCTTAACAGATGGAAAACTTTTCCCCAAAGATGAAGACAAACCCACACATACATAAGCACCAGGGTTTGTGACAGTTCACTGTATAACCGGGTCAAGCGGGCACTGTATGTGTGTGCTCTGCTAAAATTATTTATAGTCCAGAGGCAAGTGTGATTGAATAGGTATAATAGTGTGTGCCGACTGAGCCGTAAAAGTTGTAAGTTAATCCTCAGAGCCTTCTCAGACGCTCGCTCCTGGGGTTCTGCGACGTAACTAAGTGCAGGTGGTCTCACTTCTCAGCCTCCCTCGCCAGGCCTTACATCTGACAAATAAAATCACTACTGCAAGATGTCTCAAGAGCTGACTGAAGCCTGAGAAGTGCTGTCTCTGAAATGTTGGATTTTCCAGTAAATGTATAGGATGACTGTACTTTTGGGATTGTTCCTTTGGAATTGTCTCCTTGTGACATTGTAAATCCAGTGCACAAACAGTAAGAACCTGACAATGTTCCAGTTGTGGTCAGCAAATCACTCTGATGAAGTCATTCTAGGTAGCAGAATGTGCTAAAAGTGTTAGGGGTGCTAGTTTTAGGTACAGGCAAGCAACCAGGTTTTAGCAGAACCCATACTGCACTAAACCCTATGACTAAAACCCAAAAAAAGACTATAATTTACAGTGCAGACAAAAAACACTGAAGTCTGAGTGACTGACTGCATTTCTAAAAACAGATAGGTCTTCAAAAAATGCGATGATCTGACAATGACTCACCCAATGGTCACCAAATCTGTTTCTGAAATAAAAAAGTCCCGTGCCAGTTTCTTAAAAAAATAGGTAATAGTAAGTGATCTCATGTTGTTTCTCATTTGGTATGCCCACCCGGGGGATGGCAGCGGACACGTCGCTATGAATATTCAACAGCTCCCTCCATAACTCTGGGAACACTGTGTAAATTGTACACAGCCCTCAGAGCCAAACAAACCAACCGCTGCTGAAGCTATTACAGATTTCTGTGACTTGTTCCTATTCAGCCGCTGATGAAAGGACAGGGACCTGATGGTGCAGAGACAGAAAGAGAACAGGTCTTGTCAATCAAAACTCATCAGGAGAGATCCCCTATCCCCTATCGGCGTTTAGACATGGAAAAGTGATTAGCTTTGTTTTCATTTCCTCTTTTCCGCACTGCTTTTGTTTCAATTTCACATGGGATCAAGGAGCATGTTGTCCAGTGACGTCTAGTTGGAGATCTCTTCCTTGTCCTCCAGACAGATTGGAAAAATATTAAGGGAGACATGTTACGGAAACGGGTCGATGTGATTTTCAACTCTTTGCAACATTTACAAGAAGACTATTTTGTCTCTTCTTGCCACTGAAAGCAGAGTACTGTACATAAAAGTTGGGGCAAAAATGATCATATCTTCACTTTCCATTTTTTAAATTTTCTTCCCTCATCGTTCTGTGGCTCTTCAAGGGCGGTCCATGTCAAAACATCAACCCCTGTCACCCACCACTGTGTGTGCACACCATTTAGCACCAATCAAGCATAAAACACAATCCCTGAGGCTGCACTCGAGTACCCACTAACACTGCCCGCCGAGTGCACTTTTTTAGCACAGACTGTATGCCATACTAAATTAAAATTATACAGACAGAGAAAGAAACTAGCATGCTTTGAAATCTGGTTAGAAGGAAGGGGAAATATTTGAAAATGATACAATGTTGGAAATATCAAACCACTTCAGCCCGCTAAGCATGCCTCTGCACCACACTGGAGTCTGCTGCATGGCCAGTTATAGTGCAGCACACGAGCCCTTGCAAGAGTTCAGTCATGTTAGCAATGAGGTAAATCAAGCTGGTCTCGTCTGTATCTGCATTTGACAAGCAGTTTCCACCTCCCTGCTTCATCAGCTGAGGTTCCAGCGATGCAGGTTGAGGATGATCTGTCACAGCGTATGAATTATGCAGCTGCGTTACAGGGATTAGAGGCAATGTGGGGGTGAGGCAGACGAGCCCAGCCGCCCTCAACCTTTCATCCTTCATCTGTTCTGCACCACAGCTGTTAATAAAACATATTCCAGACAGACTTTGATCACTTCTGCCCTATGGAAGTGGAGAAGGTACCAGTTTAGTGCGACTCTAGGAAGAGTTGAAGGAGGCCCTGCATGCTCTGATGTTCGTTTACAGTTTTTGCTGTGTTGCGTGTTGTGAGTTTGAAACAGAAAATTCACATTAACAGTTTCATATCAGAGCAGAGAACATAGATGCACAGAAGGCTTTGGTACTGAAGAGGCCCACCGAGAGCTGCAAGTAGATCTATCTGACATGACAATGTTGATTTGGGCTCATAAGGGCAGTGGGGGCCCGAGGAGGCATACTGTCACTGGATGCGACAACATTAAGAGTTTGACCTTTTAGATGTCAGTCCTCTGCTCATGTCCTGCCCGTCAAAAGCACTTGTCTGTCAGCAAATGATGAGAGGCAGGGCCCGGGCCAACTGTAAGGTTTATTCAGAGTGATTTGAAGCAGTCAATAGTGCACTTTGGAGCAGGATGAATAGTCAAGGGAAACTGACTGTCTCATGCCATAGCATGGTAGGAGAATTAGTACAGTGTGAATGTGATGCTCAACAACTCATAACATCAAATGATGAGAAATGTAGAGCTGCCATAATGTCGTCTTAATTGAATCAACAGAAGAAGTGAAAGAAATACTTTTCCAACTGGAACATTGTCCTGTGTTCAACGTTTTATATCCACGACAGGAATTTTGTGGGTCAGAAATTTGCTTAGGTTTTGCGCAGAGAAAATGTGGCTTTTAATGCCAGGAAAAGCGGCATTTAAATGCCCCCCCTCCCCCTCAGGATTGAAGAGACTTTCCCTGCTATTGTGAATTATAATCTCCTCCATGTTTGATTTGTGTCTTGACACTGTACTTACACAACACACACTTACAGTCCTCAGTTCACGGTGTCCCTGCTCCCACAAGAACATCCAACGCATACCAACAGGCACACACATACACACACACACACACACACACACACACACACACACACACACACACACACACACACACACACACTTGCAAACAAATACACACACATTAAAGTCATTTTATGCCGGCTAATTGTGATACACTGTGAATATGGGAACCAGATGCCATTCTCAAGTCAGTTTTCCAGTGTGGTTTTCCTATCCCTGCCTAACCTCTGCGTCCAGATTCCCCCGACGAGCACCAGCTACTTGTGGTCATCCGTTCCTGCCCATTCTGCTCTGATTACTTACATCCCTGTCCCCCATTAGTTTCCCATCTTGAAAAAAGTTCCCCCGGGGGCCCACCGTAATATGATTGAGGGTTCCCATGCAGAACTAACAGATGGAGGTGTACATATAGATACATGTTTTTCTGGATGTCTTTTACTCCGTTCCAGGTTTGTGCACGTTTGAAACTGATAGATTTCATTTCCAATGGTGCCCACAGGCGTTTAGCTGCAAATGGCTACATGCGCATTTGCAGTTGCCTTACAACTATTTCCACTCTCTGGATTGGTGCAATTGATTATATTTGTGCAACAACATTTCAACTTTGCTGGATAAAGAGGTTATGGGAAATGTTGTGAGAGAATGAACGCAACATTAGTTTCCTTGCATAGTGCAAAAAAGAATCATGCCTAAAAGCCCATTATGGCATTTTTAGTAGACTGTGATCTGTAAAGGAAGATTGCAGCATTTAAAACTCACTAATTAACAAGGTAAAGTGTAAAAAAACAACAATTTGTCCATGTTTTATGGACGTGTAAATTAGTGAACTTTAGATGTGCTAGTAGGTGGATTTTCTCACCTTTTACAGGAGCAGGCTCGCTGTTTCCCTTACTACTAGTCTTATTGATGCTTACTGAGCTAACTTTAGTTACCATACAAAGATGAGAGTGGTATCAATATTCTCATCTAACTCTCAGTGAAAGAAGCAAAGGAGCGTATTTCCCCCAGTGTTGAGTTATTCCTCAAAATCAGCCAGGTTAAACTTAATCCAGTCTGGTGTGAGATCTAGAACTGGCAAACAAGCTGCATCACTTTACTGTGCGATGTGCGTAATTCCGTGTTTAGTCCTTTCGAACCCTTTTACTTTGGCCGTCTTCCCACTTTTGTGGTGAGCAGCACTCCTCACCTGCCCCTTCCCTGTCAACACTTGGTGCCTAGAGAATTGTTTTG